ATTGCTTATTAGAGTGCCTACCCTAGTAACATATTATACTCTTATTAATAGTGAGGTAGTTACTAGGGGTCTAAAAATAGGTTGATGTTGCTTATATATAGTCGCTCTAGTTAGCAACCCTCTTATAGATAGTAAAGCGACCTTTTTAAGCCTCCTTATTAGGGTTATATATAGCAAAATTGCGGTAGAGCTATTTGAAGCGTTTGCGAGAGAGCTATCGATCGATCTTATGGTTAGGTAGGTGCTCAGCTTTAGCTTAGTAGTTGCTGAGGTGAAGTTTATGATAGATGGTTATATATATTAGTATACTGAAAAATATGTATAACTCTGCTATATAGGTCCTCTATAGCGCTTTAGGGGACTAGGTAGGGTTATATATAGTACTACCTACCTCTTAGGCCTTAAGGTAGTATATCTCTAACTTATAGTTAGTCTATTTAGCTTACTTAGCGACTTTAGTAGGAGGAGTAAACTCTTCTTAGATCTTAAGAGGGGTCTTACTAGGTTTAATATTAATCTAGCGTGCCTATACCTCTGAGAGTATTTTAATAAAGGGTAGGCCTAGTATAAGTAGAGGGTTACTATAATAGTCACTTTACAGAGGGTTAGGGTTATTTAGATAGCGTTAGACCTTACTGTTGTGGTAGTTATAGAGGATAGTAGGTAGAGGGTTATTCAGAGAGTTATAGTAGTAGCCTTAGTTAAGACTCCTATTATTGCTGATATTAGGTATTAATAGAGCTACTATAGAGGGCTAATATAGGTTGTTAATAAAGCTAGCGCCAATAAGTAAGTGTGGAAGTTTAATAAGAGGGTTAAACTCCTTAAAGTTATCGTAGTACTTAACTTCTGAGTTATAGGGGTTGATTAATTTAATAGTTTTATCTATTATGATACGTTTTAACGTAGTACTAGCAGTAGTAGTAGTAGTAATAGGGGTAGTAGTAGTAGGGATAAGGTTAAGTTATAGTTATTAGTATATAGGTTGATAATATAGGCGATTAGTAAAAAAAAACACTAATAATAGGTAGTCTTAATAGAAGTATTAGGTACCTCAAAAGTATAGTTTTGCTAGCTAATTATAAGTATAGTGATTAGTAGTGTCGACTTAGCGTAATTATAGGTCTTTTTAGCAAGTAGCAGTGGGGGGCACTAAAATATCCATGTCTTGGTCGCTAAGGAGATACCTACTGTAGGTACCTCCTACCTTAGGTGGTCCCTGCCAGCCCCAAGTACACTAAGGATTCCCTGTCTGTCCCCGTTCTCCGCCGCAACTCGGCCAACCTTGCCGCAAACATTACCATCACCATCATCGTGCCCGCGAAGTGAGTCAATCTTTCGGCATCTTTGTGCTCGGGCGCTGAGCCATAACTTCGGGTTCAGCCTTGCAAACCTCCCGAGAGCGCACCTGGACGGATATCGAAGGAGCAGCACAGGCATGCGAGGCCGGAGAGCGAGATCACTGATTGAGAGCGGACACGAGGTGGTCAATCCGTCGCTGCACCGACATCGCCAATTGACCGATACACCCGTCGCATCTCGTCCACCTTGCCATCTACCTTTTGGCCTGGTGCGACTCGATAGCTTTTTCCTTGACGCCAACGCTGCTATCACAGACCGACGCGTTTCTTTTCTTGCTCCATCCCTATTTCGGGGCCTCAGTTCCTCATGACGCAGCGCCTCTCTTTCTCTGGCGTGCACCACTCGCCAACCATGACATGCCCAATGATCCCAGGTATTTTCTTGTAATCCTTCTGATTGCCTTGCCGACAAGCCAACAGCTAACAAAACCTCACCAGACACGACCCGCCTCCATCTCGTGCCGAAATGCGACCCTTGATCCGACCCGCGATGATTTTTCGATCGAGCAAAATACCGACTTCCCCAGCTTCGAGTCCGAGCGCGTCTCTGCGTCGATAAATACTGCACACATCATCTATACCACGAAGCAGCCTGCTGCAATGCCTGCCAGCTTCCCCTCCCGCTCATCCAGATCCTCGGGTCCGGCGGCGTCAGCACCGTTGCTTGTCATGGCCTGAGCCAAGTCCCCCGTCCCCTGGGCGGAACGAACATCTCCCATTTCGCGCTGTACCATACGGCCATGCATTTCGCTCCACGAGCGCTGTGTCGCGACCTATATATGGCAGCGGATCCTTGCACGGCTGACCTCCGGAGACGCGCGACTCTCCCGTGCTACGCTGTCGACAATCCCCTCGCCCTCGCCCTCGTCATTGCCCATGCCCGCTAGCCCCAAGTTGGTGTGTCGACAAAATCAGAAATCCTGCGTGGTTTCTTCGAGCATCGACTTCCATACATGGTTGGCGAGATATGCGAAGTCACCTTTGTCGTCTTGTCGCCACCTGCCATCATAACAAGGCTCTCTCGCTTGACTCCAATGCGGCTCAGCAGCTCTCTCGCTCGCCGTAGGCTAGTCTGCTTGGCCTTTCGCTCCCGACCTGCCGTCCGCAATCGAGTGCTCCGCAATTTTGCCGTCGCTGGCCATCTCTGAGTAGCACGGATGACCCCCCGACTCCACTCCTGCTCCTCCGAGAGTCAGATCCGGAAGTATTGACGGACGGCTTCGTCGGCCGTACCAATGATCTCTCCGGGTGACCGACGACAAAACGGATGCCGCGTGCTCCGCGTCGCTTTTCAGGACACGCGCCACCGCATCAGCAGTGCCTGTCATGGCGTCTGATGAGGGCGGGAGACCCGCTGCCGCTGCTGCTGCAGGCGGTAACTCGCCATCTTCCTCTCTGGCCGACTCTGCCGTCGCCTCCTCCCGCGCCTTCCACGCTATAGAAGATGCGAAGAGAGAAAGGTATGCGGATAGCGAGAGCGCTGCCTGCCGACACTTCTGCCGCGAATGTGCCGGCCTCGGCACATAATTACTAACAAAACATGACGATCTCGACGAACATCCCGACTAAAATAGCGACGGCGCAATTGGCCGGGAACCCGAGCGATGCCGTGAGGAATTCTGCTAGGCAGACTGCTTGGAGACGCTGGACTTTGCCTTTCGCCTCTTCCATCCTGCGCCTGAGAAGCTCCTGAGAAGCTCCTGGGACGCTGACATATTGGTCGATGACAGGCTATTTGTGCGACTGCCATCGCACAGTTTTATGGTAACGCATTTGGCCCGATCATGCATGTGTCACACGTCTGCCCGGCAGTGTTGGAAGCTCTGAAGAACAGGGACTCAGGAGAGAAACCCAGCCTGTTTCAAATAGACGGCTCCCAATGGCGGCCAGCGCGACGACACAGATCTGATACAATGTATCAAAGGAATCGAGAGACATTACCCAGAGGCAAATTCGGGTCTAATTGCCGCCGTGTGGGAGAGCTTAAAGATGGCGGCACCACCGCAAGTCTTCGTCTCACTGTCGCTTCCGTTACCTCATCTCAACCACGGCGTTCCTGGCATTTCTTCGCGTCGTTCGATCGACCATGTCCACGAAACCTCGTTCCTGCAGCAATCAGTGCACCGTCGTCGCGTCGGTTATGTTGGCCCTCGTACTTGCTGCTGCCTTCTGCTTTGGCGGGCTCTTCGGTTTGCGTCAACCCCCACTGGTCAAGGACGTGGTGATTCCCACTGCCAAAACCTTCGGTCAGTAATATTCGCCATTCCTTTCGTTCCTTCTGACCCCATCTTCTCCAACGTCATGTCTTCTTTGTATCCATGTAGGATGACGCTGACCTCAAGTAGATACCGACGCGTACATCTGCGCGCTCCACCACCGAATTCAGGCAAGCAACTTGTCCTCTGACGTCCGCACTTTCTACGAGTTCGTTGGCGCCGAAAGCCCCTGTCCATCCTTGCCTCCTGGAACCATCGAGGGAAGCTTGCTGCTTGTCTGGACCCAATATGCGAGCAAAGGCATGCAGAGTTTCAGCCATATCAGTCCCAGCGGTCTCGGTCTTGTTTTCGATGCTGGTCATGATGCCGCCCCCGTACAGCAGCGTGCCTGCCGCTGGGATGATGGAGAGGAGGTCGAAAGAGAGGTCTTGTTTCTGACGGTGTTGGATTTTCTGATAGCTAGACCGGATGTGCGGGCGCACTACAACTATATGTTTCTGCGACCGTTGACGCAGCCGTCTGACCGCATGGCTACGCTGAGGAACCTTTGTGGTCGTGACTGAGAGCTGGCGAGTCCAGAAACAGAGGCGGATAGCCGCCTTGAGGTACGCATGCTGGCGGACCATGGATGGCGTGATTACAGACCAAGACATGCCTTGGACAGGATACAAATCGTAGGTGACAAGACGTCAATTAGGCTAGCAGAATAGCATTTACGTAACAACTAAGTGAGTCGATTAATACTTAACCTTGTACACGGGTTGCAATAGGAGACTGTTGCTTATGTTGTTCTCGAGATTTTGAATCCTCCAATAATGCGTGACTGGAAGACATCTTTGGGGTCGTACGCTTTAGAGACTTTGCGGATAAACTCAACATTCTGAGCTCCATAGCCACGAAGCGGATCTTGAGACATTCTCAGCAACGGCGAAGTCTTCCAATTCGGCGCGCAGCGTGTTTATGAGAAGGCGTGCGATCGCTTCTTGCTCAGCGGTCTGGGCATTGAAAATGTTCACCCACGGGACTGAGCCCTCTACCAAAGACGAATCCAGACCGAGTACGTTTCCTTCCCGTCTTCAAGTGCAGTAGTGTGTAGGGAGATGTTGGAAGTTCATCTGTACCTGGAAGTCGTCTGTCGACATGAAGCCTTTCATGTTTTCTACAAGCTCCTCCGACTTTGCGACAGTTTGGTGCAAAACCACCGGGATGGCTCGAAACGTCAACGTAAGCCATATAATTCTGTCGTTGTTGTTAACGTATTCCTGATCTGCAGCCTTCGTAACTGCTCGCCCCCACAGGTGGCCATAGAGGTTTCTCTCCCAGGCTATCCTGGCCCTCGAATATTTCCCCGTGAGAGTCACGGCAGTCAACAAGGTGCGCCTCCAGGCGACAAACTGCGAAGAAAAAGCTAGAAAAAAGATGCTCACACACTGGTACCGCTGACGGTAGATTCTGGGGCAAGCGACAAAAGACTCCTCATTCTCATATCTTCAGAAACAGCAGGTATACGTGTGATCTCCATCAATCCGGTGATTTTCGACGACCCGTCAATGTTGAGAATAGAAACACATATTGTGATGTTCTGCAAAATCTGAGTGGTGAAGATGAAAGTAGATGTGAATGTGTCGCGGGCTTGTGACGCATTGTAGTTAGCAAAAGCGATCACGGCGTTGATAACTTGGTCGATGTAGTTCGTGCTGATGATTCGCGAGCCACCGTAAAGATCAGCGGATGAGAAAGCCTCCAAATCGAAACGGGTGACGATGCCGAAGTTGCTAGCGCCGCCCTTGAGCGCTTTTTGTACAAGTCGGCGTGCGCTGTTTCGTCAGCGTTTACTATTCTACCGTCAGACAGAACAACTTCGTAAGTAACGACATTGTCACACCCGAGCCCCAGGTGCCCAGTGTAGTACGAATGACCACCTCCGAGCAGAAACCCAGAGGCACCTACGCCACCGGCGCGGCTTCTTCTGACCAGACTGACACCATGTTTTGTCAGGTCCTGAAGAACAGATACCCAGAGACTGCCTGCCCCAACCGAAGCGAGGTTATTCGATGCGTTGTAACTGGTCTCAATCAATGGTCACGCCATTAGCATGTTGTTTGAACCTGGTCAATGGTTACCGCAATATGCCAGCTGCCGGCTCCATTGCCAACGTTGGTGAGTGTTGTCAAAGTTAAGGAGACCTCGTCCGATGTCCGGGGTTGCACGATACGCCAAGACGTTAGGCGGGTGCTGGCAAGCCAATACGTCTGAAATCGCGACTCGTAACCCAGCTCCGTAGCAAAGAGGAGGCAGTCGTCTAACCCAGCCTCCGCAAGGGCTTCGCACTAATGTGAGGGAGAATCTGAAATTGACTCACATACAGCAAGGCAAAACCATCCGACACCATATCGTACCGGGATGAGTCCAGTGCGGGCCATTGTGAAGGCAAATTTGCAGTAAGTGAGAAGGCTCAGCAAGTTGACGGCTTTCATTGTCATTATCGTGGTGGCTCTGTACGGGGGGTGTGAGTTTGACTGGGAGGATAGCCCAGATGGAGATTTGCAAATAAGAGAAGGCCGCGACAAGATGCTTGCTTGTTTTGCTTCGAAGGGTTCGATAGATGAAAACAGCTCTACCTACTTATGCTCCGTCAAATTGCTGATATTAATCTTCTGCATGTCAACCTTGGATATGAACGCAGGGGAAGGGTCTCTATTGCGGAAGCGAAAGAGTTGACGCCAACTCCGTTCGATTTTCTTGAAGGTGTTCATTGTAGATGAGACGGACTCCGTGAGCTGCCAATTCCAGTAAAGATCCGTCTTCATCCCTGATAAATTGATTGAAAGTTTAACTAAGTCCGTGGTAGGTGTTCGGCGATTTCAAATCATGACGGACTACTCTGACAGCCAGGTTGAGAATCAGAATCATACAGGCGCCCAACAATGATGATAAAGCAAGCTTAGGAATAAAGTGCTACTGTTCTTACTAGTTGGTCTGTATTTGCACTTGTAAACAAGGTGAGAAGGTCTCCGAGCAGCCTTCTGAAAACTCTGACGATGCGCGGATGTTGATGTTGAGAATATAAGGTTCAGGCATACCACGTAGATTTCGCCTGTCTTGAAGCATCAACCTAAGAGCCAGTTGAGTAAGATGCGACTTCAGAGCATGATGGAATATGTACACGTCCTTCACACTGCCTGTTTGACACCTGTCTTAGCAAAGACACTTGAGATGGCTGCGGCGACCTCTTCTACTGTCTACCAATTCGAGCACAACAACACATGGTTCGAAAATCTCGTTGTTAGTTCTGTCAGCGACATTCTGGCCACAAGTTTAGACGTGCCAGAGTCGTGGCTGATTGAACCTGCCACAGGCAAAGGCCAAGCTCTCGTCACTATTACCGGCGTTCTTGGTACCATCGGCATCACCGAACCCGCCCTGGATATTTTCGTTTTCAGGGCCGGAAACCTCAGTATCAGCCCCTTGGATGTCGTGTCTGGTTCATTGAGACTCTTTTCATTGGATCTCTCGAGGAAAGACCCCGAAGTTGAACTCATCACGTCGATGCCGGATGCAGTCTTAATCAACGGCATAACATCTTGGAGCGCAAAAGAGGTTTTGGTTACCGACACAATTCTTGGAGCGATATACAAAGTCAACACGGTCACCGGGCCGTATGAGACATCGCTCTCGGGACCTGATTTTGCCGGTGCGAACGGAGTCAGTGTGCAAGATGGATATCTTTACTACACCAGCTCAAGCAACCAGACGCTGTCTCGCGTGCTGGTCAACAGCTATACCATTCCAGGCCCGATGAAGGTCATCTACAGCGGAACACCCGTGGACGATTTCGTTCTAGCACCGGATGGAACCGCCTGAGTCGCTACACTCCGTTGCGTTGACAGCGTCCGCCCCCAAGTTTGACCCGGAAGGAAAATTTTCCGCTAGCCCAAAAACCCCCTAAACCCCCCTAAACTTCACACTTAGATAACTCTATGCGTACGTAATGCGTGTAAATGAAATATATATCAATCGATAGCCCTCAATTAGGTGATTATAATGATATCTTTTTTATCTACGCGCACTGCGTACGCATAGAGTTATCTAAGCGTGAAGTTTAGGGGGTTTTAGGGGGTTTTTAGGCTAGCGGACACTAAACGCAACGCTGAAAAGAAAAAACGAAACCCCTTGTACGTAGTGTTCACAGTGTCCTCCTTAAAAACCCCTTAAAATTAGCCTTAACTTCACACTTAGATAACTCTATGCGGACGCAATGCGCGAGAATAAAAAAGATATCATTATAATCACCTAATCGAGGGCTATCGATTGATATATATTTCATTTACACGCATTACGTACGCATAGAGGTATCAGTGTACGAAGTTTAGGGCGTTTTGGTGGTTTTTTGGTAAAAAGCCCCTTTTTTTGCCTTTTTCGGGCTAAAAACTGCGGGGTGGACGCTGTCAACGCAACGGAGTGTACTCTGGGTCACAATCAGGTCATACAAGTGGATACTTTTGGGTCCACAACAACTGTCGCGGGCGCGATCGATAAGCTGGATGTCGCAGGCGCCACTGCTTTGCGATTCGGGTCAAAAGTAATGGACAGTAGGACGTTATATGTGACTACGAACGGAGCAACCGCACAGCCGCTTGGAGGTGACCTCTTTGAACCGGCTAAAATCGTGGCTATCAAGCTTCATTGTGGTAACGCCCTCGATGACTAGATGGGGACATTCTGCACCGGATGTTGCTAGGGAAATCATGTAGATAGATATACATCTTTTGCCTTCCATAAGAAAGATTATGTTCAACTGTTCTTCAAACTACTACTGGAAAGGCCTTTTCTAGATAAGCAACTAATACTAAGCTTCAAAAGAACATTCGGAATATGTTAGCTGAATCCTTATAAAGGTCCAGTGGTAGTGGACTGACTTAGAAATTCCTTGGACGTTCATCGAAGACAGGGCAGCCTTTTTTTGCCACCGATGGACCATCTGCATGAGAAGGGTCTCCGTCCCGGTCGGCCATGACGACATCACAGCCGAAAGCCTCACGCCAACATCCCAGTCTCAAGTCCAACAAGACATGGTGGCAGCCCCGACCGATGGGGACACCTGGGTCCTCCCTTCGCGCCAGCAGCGCCTCCACGCCCAGCAACCCGCCCATGCCTTCAAGTATCTGATCTCGGACAAAGACCTCCGCCAAGGCCGGGTCCTCGCGCCCGCCTCGTCGAAGCAAACGGCTGATGAAGAGTGGTTCGAAATGTGGACCAGAATAGAGAAATCTCCCAGAGCGCTGCGAAGCGAAAAGCATTGGAAGGACTAGCCTCAGCATCCGACGTTAAGGATGGTGTAATGGAACTCCCCCGACGTCGAGGGGTATGGAATCCAACGCCTTATTGACTGTTTTGGTGCCCAGGATGAGACTCACGCGGACGGTGCGACGCCTGATGCAGCTTCTCAAGGGCCCCCAGGTGTTCTCATCCCCGGCAGCACTGCGCCGGCCAAATCCGGCGACCTTGACAGCTTGGGCAGCAAGTCAGTCTCTGCGAGCGTTTTAGGCCAGGATTACAGCACGGTAGTGATCCAAATGGGTGCCGGCTCCGGACCCGCGGCAACTGTCGGTCAGACCTCCTTTCCCGGCTTCATCGACAGTCATACTTTGTCTTACTCGACCCGCGAGCAGCCAACGAAGTTGTTGCATGGTGAGTTACAAGGGCCCAAGGCGAGGAGTGCGTACTGCACCCGGATTTGTCGGGGGTGGCAGCCCTGCGGCACAGTCTTTCTGGCGCCTCTTATATTCCGTTGAATCTCGCGCACATCGGCGGCGCCGCCGTCCGTCCTCACGGTGAGGTTGGCTTGTCACAGTCTGTAGCGCAGAGGTACCTGTTTCTTGAGGTAGAGGGGGAGAAGTAGAAGGCAGCGATGACATACAGACAAGAGCGTGGAAGGTCAGTCATCGACGGAGGAGCTTGAGAAGTGTTTGGAGCATGTCATGCGCGAAAGACGGAAGATTTTGGAGGAATAGCACGTGTAGGGATTCCTCCGAGAGTACACGGCCACCATTCATGACCATTCATCGTCATTCATAACCATCATGCTTGAACTAACCACCAAGGGCTCTATGATCTTGGTCCTCTAGACTGAGTGACATCAGGGAGAGTCCAGCCACACTCTGAACATCCAACATACCCTCCTTCTCCGGGGCATCCACGACAAGCCGCTCTTCGCTGCCGCCGAGGAAGCGAAGCCAGAGCGACCCCACGAGTCCACGCGGCATGCAGTTTTTGCTGCCATTGTCATCGAGAAATGGACCTGGCACTCGCGCTGAAGAGCTCTCGTATTCACAAGCGTCATGCTCGTCCTCAACATCAATGAGCACCTGCACAAGTTCCCATCGGTCGTGAACCTGCCGCCGTGCCTCGAAGCTCTCGGGCGCGTGTTCGTCTTCGTTCCGGCGATCCGGGTCGCAGCCACCGTGCTGGCGGCCATTGATGGAAGTGGATAACTTGAATAATAGCTGGGCGCCTGCAGCAAGGCTGGCTTCGACCAGGCGACGGGGCGTGGTGATGGCGGTTGGAAATGAGGAACACGTCGACGACGCGCGACCGGGCGGCCGGCCACAGAGGTGCAGTCTTTGGGGCCGAGAGTGACGGCGGAGGGTGGCGGCGGTATGGTGCGAAGGTGGTCTTCCATGTCCGGCCCTCCGAACCCCTGTAATCGAGGCGATTCGCGCTCTCTTCATAAACCCCCAGAGGTGGCCATAGAGGTTTCTCTATGAGCTATCCTGGCCCTTAAATATTTCCCCGTGAGAGTCATACAGCAGTTAATAAAGTGCGCCTCCAGGCGGCAAACTGCGAAGAAAAAGTTAGAAGGGAAGAAAGAAGAATGACCTTTACCGCCCGCATCGATCTTGCGCCCCTCCAGGTTGTCGAGAAGATCCTGGCCAACGGCTTCGCTGATGGCGCTGGCTTTGCCAGACCAGTTGGGGTGCCGCAGGCCGTCTGCTCAGGCCATCCAGGAACCTGAACCAGCGTCGGCACGAGCGAGGATCTGACGCCGATTCGGAAGGGCGTTTGCGTAGCGCGGTGAAGCGACCGTATCAAACGCGTGGCGACAGGGTGAGCCGTCAGGACGAACAAGGTACATGGCTTCTTGAAGTTGGAGAGGCTGGGTGTGATTGGCGCCTGAAGGTGAGTACCATCTTCTCAGGATGGTACGGGTCTCTGATTGGCCGCAGGACGACACACTGGTTGGCCGTTGGCCGTAATCGGCTCGTCAGAGCCCGTACCATCCTGAGAAGATGGTACGGCTCTCTGATTGGCCGCTGCAGCTTGCAAGACAAAGGAAGCTCCCCCCGCTGGCCATCGTCATCCTCAGGCAGTCGGGTGGGCGGAAGCTCTTACAAATGATGTGTTGATGCATGGCGCAGTTGCACGATGCACTAAATGTGATGCGTGGAGCCGCCGACTTGCTCCCGATGACGATGGGCTGGTCTTAGATGCGGGCTCGTTGTTGGACGGGCATATGATGGCTGCTCCCGGCAGGGAGACCGAGGCAATTCGAGAAGGTGGACCAACTGCGAGTCCGTTTCAGCTCATTTCCGTGGCCGTGAGCAAAGATGAGGGGGTTGGTAGAGAGATGACGGGGGCAGGTGGGGCGACAAACGGAGTGCAAGCGGAAAGCCATGCTTGACAGCTATGATCACCGCGAGCGGCTCCCATGAACCGGCCTCGGTATGCGTAGAGGCGACCGAGGTAGAGGTGCGCTTTACCCCTGAAAGCTGCTCCTGTTCGTTCCCGCCCAACGTCCAGGTTCGTTGACGCATACATGCCCACAGAACCTCCGGCGGATGTCGTATCAATCATGTCGCCCGGCCAGCTGGACGACTCCATCCGCGACGATTGAAGCCCCTCACGCGTCGCCTTGAGCACAGAAGGCGCCAAACCGAGCCAGTGGCCCCTCAAGGCCATCGAACGCAACGGCAGGCACTTCAGAGTCGACCACGATTCGAACCGACATTCCTTTCAACAGAGAGCCGCTGGGCAAAGACACAGTGCCAATAGTCGCTGTAGGTAAAGACACAATGTCTGTGGCAGCCGGAAGCAATGTCGGCGGTAGTGTCGGGTTCGGCTTCACGTCGGTGCTGGACATTTCCAAGAGGATGGACGAGCTGCTGCAGGACAAGCAGACCCACGCAATATGGAGTACAACATGAGCTGGAGGTCAAGCGCCTGCACTGGATAAAGCAACATGCGATGAGACGGGGCGAACGGGAAGCCTGGGAGAAACGGGGACGTTGAGCCTCGAAGGGTCTGGAAAGCTGCCTGGAGGTGATGATGGCCTTGATGCTGGAAGCGCGCATCGTGTTTGACGATGGACTGGAAAGCGACACGGGGTCAGTAAACGAGAAATCTGTCCGCTTTTGCACTTTATGTATGACATACTTGCGTGAGAGGTTGTTGCCGTAGATCATCTCTTCGACATTCTCAGGCTTGATCTGGGGTGACCGAAAGGTCTTCTGGATGGCGAAAGGGAAAGGCTGGTTTAGGAACATGGAGTGTGAGGTGATTTACTCGTTCAAAAGGTTCTGAACGTGAGAGCCAGTAGAGACGATGTGCAGAGATATCAAAAACACAGACACTTGTGGAGACAATTGTAATCAAACACAATGAAACTCCGAGATGACAGTCGCAAAGCGCTCTCTGATCTACAGCGCGCCAGTCAACAAGCTTCTTGAATGTGATGTCCGCCTCCAGGACGCGATGTCTGGCCTCCGGCTGCAGCTTGAGCACTTGACCGACATCGCGACAAGAACTCAGTTCACCAATATTCAGTCCTTTTCCAGACACGCAAAACGATGCCTCCGCGGTGGGCGCGATGGCGACAAATGGTGTTGCGAGAGCATCATGCGGAGAGGCCGACCCCTGAGAAGCGCTCGGCAACTACGTCGAACTCGACGACACGAGGGTGGAGGGTGGCGTCGCCGGGAGTGGTGTGGGGGATCCGATTTCGCGCCACCATGTTCCTGGCCGTGACGGGGCCGCGGGCGTTGGAAAAGGGGATCCGACAAGAGAGAGATAAGATGCAGCTGGGGTTGTCGCGGGGCTGGAGGTGGCAGACGTTGAGGATCACAGATGACGAGGATATTCAGGCTGCGAAGCGTCCTGCTGGCGATGGCCATGGATATGGAAGCTCTGCTCTTAGTTTTGCCGTCGTTCATGTCTTCTCGCTTGGATGGGAAGGATGGGCTGATTCGGGATGGTCATCTTCAGACAACAGCGAGCCCAGGCGAGGTGTGAGTCCTAACTGCGACATGGCGATAGTTTCGAGTATGGGAAGCAGCGAACATGGAAAGGTTGTTTGGGCAAGAGAGCGGCAGGGGAGCAAGGCCATGGAAGACAGGGGCAGAAGGAGACAGGAAGAAGACATACGTCGGAATCATCAACTTGCTGAGGAGCTGCGGCAACACAGTATCGACAAAGCGACCTGGCTCGGGAAACGGAGCCATGTGGCACAGCGGTCGCAGATATGACCGGAGTTTGGCGTTGAAGGCTTGGTCGTCGACGTCGGGCGGAAGGACGCCCATCTTGTGCGGCTCAAAGCAGAATGTCGCTCGCACCTCGAGACACCAGCCTGTGGCAGGTTGCTTCTTGGCTGGTGCTGCGTAGAAGGCGACAGGCACGCTACAGACTTCCTGGGCTCCGCTCGTTCGTTAGCCGAGTCAGCCCAGTGTTTGTTGCGGGAATGGTACGTGGGCTGTGTTTGAGATAGGCGTTGCACGCAGTGATGAGACGGCCACTTTTTGGAATTGCAGAATAGGAAGAGATGCGATAGATGGACCGCCTTGATGAATGATGACTGCTGGACCATAAATACGTTGACGTATGATGGTCGGTGGCTGAGGGATAGAGGCCGTGACAACTGCGAGGGCATGGAGTTCTGTGTTTGCTGACAGCGCCGAGCAGTGATCATCGGAGATCGAAGACTGGTTCGACAGCATCCTGTCGTGGCGGACAGTGTCATGACTCGCTTGGAGGGCTGTTACTGAGCATCGGTCGTGCTTGCGTGCTGCCCTCGATGCCGATGATTTGAGGCGAGGAATTGAGAAGGATCTCGCCTTGTCCAACCGTCACTATCGTGATAGCCGTCCGGGCAGCCCAATTTAGTCATTCATGAAGCCTACATGCTTGTCCATTGCGGCGCTAACGACTTGGTGCAGATGACAATTTGCAGAACCAGGCGATTTCTTGCCATTGCCATGAAGTTGCCATGAGGTCGTCAGCTTGGTGGCTGCCTCTGCTGGCGACTTTTCAACGGTGTTTAACAACGGTCAGTTCCATAATTGCCTTTAATAGCAATTCCTTGCCATCGATGGAAGGCAGTTGGCTTGTTGATTGCATCTGCCGGCGTGCGGACGTGTGTCTGCGATGGTGGCCCCCAAGTGTTATCTCCGTCGAGAGGAGAGCTCCGGGTGTGGCTAACTTCTCGACACCACCTGATGTTTTGCAGCGGTCTGCATGCGAGGCCATGATTTCGCCGTCGCTCGGCATGGCGTGCCAATCCTCACGGCGACGCAGTGGATACTTGCGGTACGCAAGTACGCTGCCTCCCAGAGCTTGCCAATTATGATCCCTGGACAATGCGAATATGGAAACGCAAATTTCCATTCATGATGCCGCTCTTGCCGTCGACAGTCGCCATGTCCTGTCGTGACGCCGAGTGTCCGATCTGCGATATGTCAGCCGCGAAAAAGTGCCAGAAATGCCGGGGATGAGACCTGTGAGTTCTAGACAGCCCGGCTCCAGCTGCGTCTCCATCTCTGTCCCCGTTCACCCCTGAGTCCAAGTCCTCATCTCTGGAAGACCCTTCCTTCTTGTGGGTGGCCCTCGCTTTTGCTTTTCCCGAACCAATCAGCCAAAAGTACGACATTTGTCTGTGTTTTCATGACGACAGGCTCCTCGGTCCCAGGCAAACGCTGCTGGCCCTCGCAGATCTGTGACAACGCCTCGTCCTCGGTCCGGATCTTAACAGCAATGCCGACGACAACAGCTCAGCTATTCAACCCTGTCTACCGGTCGTGCGATGGACTCACCGGCTACGACGCCGGCAGACGCAGCGGCACCATCGACACGCAGCACTTGTTCGCCTACCTCGAGACTCTGATGCTGCGGATTCTCCCTCTCGATTTCCATCACCACTAACACGACGACCACCACGGTACCTGCGATCTCTGGTGGCCTGCCGGGGCGCTCATGGCCTGCGCATCCGCTGGCGAAGAGCTGCACACGCTCGCTCGGCACGGCCAGACCCTAGAGAGCCGTACTCCACCCTCGCCCGTCACGCCCGCATGGCCGCTCGACAGTTGCAAGGAGTCGTCTGTGTCGTTTTCGAGTCACAAAAGGCTAGTCCCGTCGTCTCTAGCGAGGGTTCGTTCCCCATCGCAACGCTGTCTGAGGCCTTACCAACGAAGCTTTACCTGCTCCCAAGTCCGCCCTAGACGTCGTAACGGCGTGTGTAACAGACCTTGAGATGCTTTGCTAGCGGCATCATCGCAAAGATGCTCGCGTCCTAGCCGCCAGCAAGGTGCTCCTGTCTGGATCTCCCGCACCGCCCACAATCTGCGAGACGTGGAACAACGTGCTGCCAGGCGGGACGGTGCCGTCACATCCCGACCGCTCGTGAGTCGACAAAGTCATGCACCGGATGCTGCCCCAGCTGGACGAGGCGACGATGCGCTGCTAGTAGTAAGTAGCCAACCTTGCTGATGCAAAGCCAGATGAGAAGGCTTCAGGCGAGACGCCTAGATAGATAGATATACAGAGCAGATTGCTGGAGCCGGCGAGTGTTTGCAATGGCAATGGATGCTGTTAATAGAAGAACCATCAAAGGTCATCTGATCGTTGAATGCTGGAGAAGACATTGATGAACTGTGAACGACCAAGGCAGCAGCTGCAGCACTGAGGGCGCTGCAAATTTAGCGCACCTTTAACGCGTGCTGGGAGAAATCACAGCGAGCGCCCAGAGCTACAGGGGCCACCTGCCGATTCCAGGCCTAAAATCGGCAGTTGGTGACCGGGCGGGCACAACGTCACTGTAGCTATGGGGGCCACCTGCCGATCTTAGCGCTTGAATCGGCAGTTGTCGGGCATCGGGCCCACCCGTCGCCTGGACCAACACACCAGACCGTTGCGTCCGTGGGTTGGCTTAGGTAAGACGGCTGCAAAATGTACCAGATTTGTGGTACATTTTGCAGGCATGGAGGCAGGTAGGCCACATCTTTTGACAGAGGGCAGACTCGGATGGGAGGTGACTGACGGCAACACCAAGACTCCCTGCACCCTGGACTGCATACAATGCAAGTACCTTCTGCACGGTTTTTTCGAAAAAGAAAAAAGACGCACTGTTCGCCGCATTTTACAGTACCGTTGTGCCTTGAGGAGTTCTCCCTCCCAAGACGCGCTCGCGGGAGAAGCGGGTACCATCATTGTCAGCGAGGTACGTACCGGCTGCGACCGACGGACTCCAGCCCCGAAGGCCGGCAACACCAGCGATGGAAAGCCACCAACCTTTCTCAGCCTCGACAGATGTGATGCAAAGCATGAACGTCTTCGATTGCCGTCCCGCCTCGTTGCGCTCGTGAGATCATCACCGTGGTCGTGTCAGCCATGTTGCGTGAGGGCAATTCTCGCTGGCAGCTGTGGCGGCCAATCAGAGAGCCGTACCATCCTAGGAAGATGGTACGGGCTCTTGCGCGCCAATCACGCTCAACCAGTGACTTCTGCCGGCTGGTGCACCGTGCCCAAGGTGGAGGTTGTTCCGAATTACCGAAAGTTGTGGGCGCTGGTCGGAAAAACCCAAAAGCCATTACTGGAAGGAATGGACGTGCCTCAGGTATGTTCCCACAAGAGCCGAGGTACAATATACAGCAAGGTACAGATATGGAAAGGACCAAGCAACCCTAATGGATATAACCCAAGGTGTGAACACAGAAGTACTATACTCAGTACAGGAAGACACAGAGGTCTCGAGAGAGACGAAGTTCCCACAGGAGCTCCAAGGTCCAATCTCCAAGCTCCAATCGTCCACCGTGACGTTGGCTCCATTGATCGACTTTGCACCCTGGGATATGTGGTACAGTACCCGTGCCGAGCGACGCGCGACGCATCCGCCAGAGACTAGACCGCCATTTCCCCGACACATCAGGCAGGTTGCAGGCAACGCAATTGTTTTCCGCAATGCCTGGCCACTGCCTGTAACTAATGCATCTCACTCTAAAACGCGCCATGGTACGTACTACCATCAATCTGCCCATTGAGATGCGGCATCCAAGTACCACGTAGTAATTAGCTACCACATACCAATCACGATAGCGCGTTGGACCAACATGAACATGGTGGCTTCCTGCGCCACGTTAGGCGTTCTCGAATGAGCATATCTATCAGTACTGTCAGCGATCCCCTCTTTCCCTTTTCTCATTCCCCTCTATGAACAATAACCTGTCTAACCGTGATTCCCGCATTTCTACTTCAGACATCGTTACTTGACAACTGCGGAATCGTATTTACTATTTACCAGGCAGCTCTGTCCTCATGGATCATCGCAACTGCACTATCGCATGGGTTCTGCCCTCAGCCGAGTTCCATACAATCGCTGAGGCATTCTTCGACAAGGTCTACAACCATGTTTCTACACCCCTGCGGATGACCTACAGCATTGGAAGAATCGGTCAACACAATGTTGTGGCTGCAAGCAAGACGACTGAAGCCACCTCTTTACACACTGGAGATATTGTCGACAACTTGCTGGTGGACTTCCCATCCATTCGGGCTGGTTTCCTAGCGAGCCTCGACGCTATCGCGTCCACAAAGGGCCCTATTCGCGTGGGTGATGTCGTTGTTGGCACAAAGCCAAACCTGCAGAGTGCCGTTGTGTACTTCGATGCCAAGCAAACCAAATCTCAGCAGCGGCTTGTTCTGACACGTGAGCCACGGCGTATCCCTGAATGTGCGGCAATGGCCATCGAATCCATCCGCACTCAAAGAGGGCGCGATGCCTGGCTGGAGGCGCTTGGTGAGGTCAGCCAGCAGAATCAGCGAAAGGCCTACCGCGGTGCGATAGGGTCCTCCTCAGAAGGGTTCAACGATGCTGCTGTCATTGATCGCGTTGTCCACGAGCGCAGCATTCTCTGTCTTGAGACAACTGCTGCAAGTATGAACTCTCAATCACTTGTGGTTGTCGCTGGCATTTCTCGCCATGCAGGCCGTAGTGAACGCCGCACGGCGGCGGCACAGGTCCATGGAGCCGTCTTTTCATATCTTCGTTGCGTAGCTCATTATATGAGCGCCGAACAGCTCGGCATCGAACCAACCTTGGCAAGCTACTTCACCTATACACCATTCGACTTAGACCGCGCATATTTTCGACTTCTGATCCTTCATAAGGGTTGCAAACACGACAAGATCAGTTGTAGCGTTTTTCAAGCGTGTCTTCCCGACCGCCAAAGTCAAGAGGAGAAGGAAATTAAGCAAGGCGGCGAAACTATCCTACCATACGAAGCCCTGTCGTACTGCTGGGGCGACACTAGACTGCGGAACATGATTACAGTCGACAGGAAAGCGCTCTTCATCACAGACAATCTTCATGACGCCCTTAGAAATCTGAGGCGAACCGAGGAAGATCGCATTCTCTGGGTCGATGCTATTTGCATCGACCAAAGCAACGTCGAAGAGCGTGGTCATCAAGTTGGATGGATGGGCGAATTGTACAGACATGCTGAAGAAGTTTTGTGCTGGTTGGGACACCCAGAACTCATTGTTGGCCATCTTCTTGCGCTACTCGAAAAGTTCATTACACTGGTTCCACGGGTGGCATGGAAAAGTTGGCCTATTACCGATGATCGATGGCGCCAGGTCTGGGAGGATGTGCACGCAAGTCAACCACAGCATGACTGCCCTTCACAGCTCAAATGCCTGATGGCCAAGGAGTGGTTCAGTCGGGTCTGGATTATACAGGAGGTAGCCAACGCTCGCAAGGCATCCATCGGTTGCAGTGAGGGCTGGATCAGTGCAAAAGCCTTCGCCATAGCACCGACGTTACTCAATGTCCGCCTCAGCAATCAGTGCCAGGCAGTGATTGATATCATGCCAGGTCTAACCCGAAGGCAACTCGGGCAGGCTCAGAAGACGAATATCTGTTCCCTGCTGTGGACATTTCGAGAAAGCCAGTCGAGTGACCCTCGCGATCGGCTCTATGCACTATCAGGTCTTGCTTCTGATCTCAGGGGCAAAGAAGGAAGCATTGTGGCAGACTACACAAAGTCGGAAGAGGCAGTTACGGAAGACATTTTGTCATATTTGTATGCGGATGATACGTCGACCAAAACTACTAGTCAACTGGGACTTGCTGAAGTTCAGGCAGCCATCCCAAAGCTTTCCGGTATGGCGCTAGAGAAAATTGTCTCAGCAAAGTTAGACGTCGACAGGGTCCAAGAATATATGCAGAGGGTAAACTCAATGACCTGGCTTACAGAAGGTATCGCTCGGATAGCTGCTCAGGACATTTGTTCAGGCGACAAGGTAGTGGAATTACTGCTCAGTGAACGTGCAAACGTCATGGTCACAGAGGGCCTTGTCGAAGCCATTGCAGGTAGTTTCGGCAGCACTTGTCTAAGGCTTTTACTAGAGCATCAGGGCCAACACATCCAGGTAACCAACAAGATTGTCAAAGCAGCTGCGGGGAATAAGTCTTCTGGCGAGCAGGTGATGGACCTGCTGCTTGTTCGACGAGGCGAGGTTAAGGTAACAGAGGAGGTAGTCAAGGCAGCTGCAGGGAATGAATCTTCTGGCGAGCAGGTGATGAGGCTGCTGCTTGATCAACGAGGTGAGGAGGTTGAGGTGACAGAGGAGGTAGTCAACGCAGCTGTGGGGAATGTATCTTCTGGCGAGCAGGTGATAAGGCTGCTACTTGCTAGACGAGGCGAGGAAGTCAAGGTGACAGAGCAAGTTGTTAGGGCAGCTGTAGAGAATAAGTTATCTGGCGAGCAAGTGATGAGGCTGCTGCTAATTTATCAACAGGTTAAGTTTACTAGTAGGGCTATTGAGGAGGTTATTAGGGCAGCTGCGAGGAACTGGTTATATGGTGAGATGATAACAAGGCGGCTGTTACTTAATCGAGAAGTTAAATTTTAGATTAGGGCTATAAAGGAAACTTTATAGAATAGGTTATTAGGCGAGCAGGTGATAAAGCTGTTATTTAATAGATTCTCATATTGCGTTAAAGCTAAATAGCTAATGCAAAACTTACTAGGTGTAAGATAAAACCCTTGCTGCTGTTTAAGACTGTTGCACTGCTATACTTATAATCGTTAAGCTAGAATGTAAATATTAGGCGCTATCTTATCTTATAACTTAGCTAGTAATCTCTAGTGATATAATATTCTTTTAGTCTCTAATAAGATATTTAATATCTTAAACTAGGACTAAGAGAAAGAAAAATTATAAGAAGGGCAATTTAAGGGATAGAGCTTAGTTAATAGTTAAAGGTAGGGTTTTTACAGAACACAGATGCAAAGCGGACACCAGTTTTGCGAACCTCTGTACGCCCAAGGTGTTTCCGCTGACCCTCATTGACATCGTACGACCGAGACACACAAGAGAGACCTCGCAGGCATACCTCCGCAGCGCAGCCCATCCCAAGGAGCGACAGGCACTCTCCAAAGGCATCAATTGCCGCTCTCACGAAGCCTCCCCGCGACGCGCCCTCCGTTCTGCTTGGCGCGTCTCCGATGTCACTCGTTTCCAACACCCATCCGCAGATCAAAAGACGTGCACCCTTTGGGCTTCTGATCTGACGGTTGATGGCTGACGTTGCCGATCCGTGGCGGACACGTTGCATCTACTCCTTTCCAGGCCACCATTCCGTCTGGCCAAGGGCGGAGGACAACGCCGTCTGGTAGATGCTTAGGACGGCCCCCCCGGTGCCGTCTCTTGCCGACGTCTCTGCACCACATACCCGATTTCGGTCAGCCGACACCAGCAGCTTTCGGCATCGCATTGGACAGACTCAACGCCATGCTCGCAGCGCTCGGCCACCGTTGCCGCGTCTCTGAATGCCCACTGTGCCTGCTGCTTGCGTTATACGCAGCCTACTCTGCGCTGACTCCTGTTGGTCCAGAAGCCCTTTGGGACCTCTGCCGCCCACTATCGTTCTCCACGTGCTGTCTTGTTTTCTCGTCGTGCCCCAGAAGCTGCTTGTCCTTGTCCTTGCACCCTGTAGTGCTTCCTGATGATATCCTCCATCTTGTTGAGCTTCCGCTTGACAGTTGTGTTCTATTGTATTGTTTCGCTGATGATGCTGGCTAGAGAGCTTCAGCCTCGTTCATAATACTTCTTTTCCCCGTTCATGCCACTGTTATCTTGCTGAATGGGTCGTTCACGCTTCTTGTCATTGAGACTTTCCACGGTTTTTCTCAGCCAGCTCTAACTTGAGGGTCGCACTCAGCCGTGGAAGGGCGAGATGGACCATTAATGAATGGACTAAACAGATGTGCGGTCGCAACACCGGCTGAAAGACTTCGAGTTGTTCTGTTAAGTAATATATTACCACAGATCGAGTTCCTTCCACATCTTCGCTCTCATCCCAGAAGCAGAAGGCTGAGATGCGTTCAGCATGCTCTAAAATCCTGTCCTCCTTCGCATCTGCCTCTGGCTGAGCCTTTTTGCTTACTTTGTGGCACCTACTTGGCTGAGACTGTACTTTCTTTGTCTTTCCCTCGAATGTGGCCTCGATTTCGACGTCCAGCCCCCACGCTCACGCCGAGTGACACGAGTACAGGAAACACTGTCAGGGCTGCTGAGTATTCCAATTCTATCCCCTCATAATTCTGCTAGGTTTCCTATTGTTTTCAATCCACCTCTGGCGATGTCTTCCGGTTGGGTGCGCTGATTTTCAGTCCAACCTCTTCTAAAAGTTAATCTTTTTCACACTTGTCACTATTGTCGTCATGAATGTGATGTCCTTTTGGGTTCTTGGATCTGCTCCTGTGTGTTGTCGCATGCTGCCGTGCACACCTGCGGCTTCGGGGGCAGACGTAAGACGGACATCAGAAGCGTCGCCTGGGTTAATACCGCAGTTGCAGCAGTGGTCTTGATGGCCTACGGACGCGGACATGATGCGGACAGGCACCGACTTTGTATCTTATGAGCCTATATGCTTCCCACTCCCTGGGCAGTCTTTCTAGCTACCTTTTGCGTTTTTATTTGGCCTTCCCCCCTCGGACAGGTTCCTTCGTACACCATCCTTATTGCTGAAGAGTGGCCGACGCTGGAAGCGCTTTTTGCTGCCTCCTGGCTCTTGCACAACATGACATGCCCACATGAGTACACTCCTTTGACTGGTTTCCTGTGTCTGTTTCCTGCGGCCAGCAGCCTCCTTTAAGGCCTGGGACGTCCTGTGCTTTCCGCGCTCGTCTATGTCCGAAATTGAACATGCTTCCCTGTCTTTGGTGCTGGCCGCGTATCCCTCTCCCTCTGTCATCGCTCGACTGCAACCAAGATAAGGAGTCAACGGCCCCCAGACACTCCTCCGCCACAATATGCCGACATACCCATTGCTTCTGTCTCTAACCTCATGGCCTGAGCGGCTAGTTCCTCTCAGCAGCCGGTCTGTGTCCAGGCCTTCTAATGCCTAAAGCTGACTACCCCCAATTTGACCACCATGGGCGTGAGTTCGCGCCGAAACGCTCAAGCTATCCTCAACTGCTGCTTCTTCCTACTTCCTGGCGCGAGCTGATGGTCCTTGCACCTCAATCCATCGCTGCGATGGCCCCTCGCGTCATGCCAAGTCTGATTCAGCGGTTCTGCCGTCGAATCTCTGCATGATCCGCTAGTCTGGACTGTGTACATCGTCGCTCTGTGTTCTGGAAATCTCGAGCCTTCTCTAGCCTGATGGAAATGCTGCTGGCATCTGTCCGCTCCACCTGCCGTGCTGAGATTTCTTGACTTCCGCATACAGTCTCGACTCCACATCGGCTTGGCCCTGAACACCGGTCAAGTTCCAAATCTTGTTCTAGTCAACCACAAAATGCTCACTGCCTCCGCCTGCCCCCTATGCGGGAGTAGCTGGGGGAATCCTATCGCATGAGTCCGTCCTGGAAGCAGATTCACCGCGACATTCCAGGACGAGATCATCAGACTCTAGGCGGAATCAGCCCAATGCTTGTATCTCAACTACACCATCAGAAATCGAAGAATCTACTACACAACGGTCCCAATGCCAAGAGTCAACACAAGGGACTCGGGGAAATGCGTGGGTTTCCGTGCTCGCCGTGATCGCAGCAAGGCCGTCCAAAAAGGTGAATGAGGGTCCAGATATCGGCAAAAGCTGATCGATCATTGACACGGCTCAGGGTCACTCATGTCTCGACCTTTAGCCACGCACAGCTACTCCAGAATCCAAGTTGCCTGCCGATTCTGCTCGACATAGATGCAGAAGCTCACTCGTCAGCACGCAGGAGGATTTCAGGCCTCTCGTAAACATTTCCGTTGAATTAGATTGAGATATCTCTTCGGCAATAAACATTAATCTGCGGGCCGCTGCAAGCCATTCAGCAAAGACGCGCTTTGCGTACAGATGTAGCACCGTTGTGAATCCAGCAAAGCTCCCCATCCGGACCTCCTAGCACTAACTCTTCCACGATCACATTCCGTCGCTATTTACACTCCTCGAACGCCTTTACTGCGGCTCGAAACTCCTTGTATCGACAACGGCAAAGGCTTGCGGCCAGATGAATTAGGTACAGCAGACCCGGATAGCAGATCGAAGCCGACTCCTTGTCCAATCTCTTCAAGACTCGAATCATGGATGAAATGTTGTTGTGGTGTAGCCCCACGGCGCCGGCAGCAATCTCGACGGTTATCCCACTCGCTGAATGTTGCTCTACGTCCAGTTAGAAACAAACCTGATCTGGGAGGCTGAGGTATCCGAACTCACCAGGTATAGCAGCCTTCAGCAGGTCTATAGCCCTCAGAGCCATCCTGTTGGCCTCCGTCAAGGCCTCTTCAACCTGACCGACTGTGTCCAAGTATTGTCGATGTCGAAGCCATTGTTCCAACGCGGCTTGATGTGTGGCATGTAGCTGTATTAGGCCATCGATGGCGCCTAACAGCCCAACCCTGGCTCTCAACACGCTGACGAGCCTCTCGTGATGCTGTTCGGTTTTGTCTCGTTCGTTCGCCTTGATTTCTGACATCATGTCCCGGAGCTTCTTGCCGACTGCCCGCCTGTAGGTCGCTCGGGTTGCCGCATCTGCACCTGCGGGCGGCACAGTACTCGGAAAAGACGAACACATGTCGACTGGCACGCTGGCATCGAAAGAGGTGAGGGCTTGGTGGAGATGGCGCCACCATGCCGGGGCATTGACTCGGCTTGGGTCAGAACCGGTGTTTGCCAGAGACGTGCCGAACGCGATTACAAAAACCCCATAGTCGTTTCCATTCCCTTGTCTGGCCGCGCTTGCCTGACGTGCGAGACTTAGTGAGCTGACCTCAGAATGAATCGGGGAGCTAGGAACTTACTTTTTTTACTTGGACATCAGGACGCCAAGCTTCGCCGTAGAGCCACGACAGGGTCGGGATAACCTGCTCCTCCGCGATGTTGTTCCGCAGTTCCAACGAGTCCAGCTCCGAAATCGTGTGCGTGGGCCTGTTGTAAACAAACAATCTCCAGTGAGAGTTGTCGCACGATGGCATCATAACGTTTTCCGCAAGGAGAAGCGGCGCGAGACGCTCTCGACACCTTTCTGATCTTTGATGACCGGCCGTGGCCAGCGTAAGGCTATCTATGAGTCCCATTTTGAAACCCACGCCACGGTGCAACATCACATTGACGACGGTGTCATTGAGCCATTGGTGCTCCCGTAGTGTCGCGAGACCTTCGACCAGACTCTCTGCAGTCACTCGTATCCGGCAAGCATGCCTGATGGCGGCTACGTCGGCGACTTCCTCATCATGTGGTTGTTGCCGCTTGTCTGGTTGCGCGGCGGCGGCGTCATCTTGGACATCTGAGTTAGCCATGACCTCCACGTCTCTGGTGCTGTTGGTCTCGAGCCTTTCGTCCGCAGTCGCAATTGACGGCACCTCGTGCGGCTCTGGCGTATCGATTTCGAGTGAGTGGCTGTCTTCAAAGAGTGATGGGGCCAACGC